CACGCCCACCATCATCTTCGGACATCGGCTCAACTCAGTCCGCAGACCCACACGCTCGGTTTCACTTTGCACAACGAAAAACAGTGCGTCTCAGCCGCGAGTCACTCACCAACCATTGACTTGGATTACCACAGAAAACTGTTTCTAGACTTTAGCAGCATTCCGGTTTTTCTCAGCCGTTTCCTTTTCCTTTTTCATTTTTCACTTTAGTCTTTGACAGGCTAAGTGTGTTACCGCCTCTTTCTTCAACTGGCACTGCTTACTCCTTCAATTGACACTCCCAGACGTGATCTCGCATGTTTAGCTTGCTCAAATCAACACTCGGTGCTCCTCGCCCCACGATCCAGTGACACTTTGCCCAGCCACCATGGACGCGCAGTGGCAGCAATACTACTGGAATCATTATTTGATGCAGCAACATCATCAGCAGCTTACCAACCCGGATACCACAACTTCACCTCCCACCACCACTCACCACACCTACAGCCCCACAGGCACCTATGGCCCACTCACCCACGCACTCCGTACACACCACGTCCACCACTCCAACCCGTGTGTGACTCCACCGTACACACCGCCATCGCAGCATACACCGCCACCACAGGCACCAACCTCACAGCCGGAGTTTCCACCTCCGCCACCGCCCCCCCCTCCCCACGGCCGAACCTGTCACTCCACCACCATCGACATTCCAACACAGCCCGCCGCCACCACCAACCGCACGTGGCAACACAGCGCCTGCCCCGCCACCACCACACATCCCATCCCCCACTCCACCTGTTCCAGACTCTTGGAACCCAACCGAACAACATTGGGACTCCAACACCCTGCACGGCCACCAACTACATCGTACAATCCAACCCACTCAGTGGTCTCGAAAAGCCGGCGTGGCAGGACTCCCAACCTTTGAGGTTTTCCCGTGGCAATTGGCTTACCACGGCACCTCCGAGTTCACCGCCCGCACACTGAGCAACGGCAAGTACACAGGTTTTATTGCCACCAGAAGCATAGCGGAGTCGGTTTTCGTGACCCATTTTCTCCAACAGCTCCGTGAAAAACGCCTTGACCTTGACGGCATCGCGGAGACCCTTCACACCCAACAGAGCACGGACATCCCCAACAAAACCACCCACGCCCGAGCGTTTCACGCTCCCCTCATCAAACTACTTCTCGACCAACTGCAAACTCACTCTCCAGCACCTGCGGAAGGCACCGCTCTACGCGCCCTCAAAAACACCAACGATGAACTGGCTCGCGCACGTCAAAAGCTCCACGACCTGGGCAACCCACTCACCCCAGTCAAGAGCACCAGCCGATCTTCCGCACCGGCCGCCCCATCCCATGCACCCACTCCACCACCACCAAAACCGCCAGCCCTCACTGACGTCTTGCAACCACCACACCCAACACTGCAAGACGATATCCCCGAAGGCTGGAACCACCCAGAGATACAACAATGGGTCACTACCTTCGACCCCACCATCCAAGAAGCCGCCAAGGACGTCGTTCGTTTGCTGCAAACGAGCAAAGTCACCACGCAGCAGCTCAAAGAAGCAGCCACAAGGTATGGCCTACCCCTCAACCGGGTCAACCGGCTCCCCATTCGTAGCCTACAACAGCTCGTGGGTGTTGGAGCAGCCATCGGCTGCTGACTCGCCATCCTTGCCCAGCAGCAACCCAGCCACACCAACCTCACCCAACTTTTCCACCTGCACCGAGCACTCTCCGTGCTCATCCACCGCACCCAATACATCGACCGTGCCGAGGCCATCTTTGCAACTGGCCTTATCCACATCACACTCCTTTTCGCATACCCTTCCAACACCCGTCGCTCACAACAATGGCGCAACCGTCTCCGTCAGCTTCACAGTCTGCCCCACACATACCACTACCACAACTTCCTTTCCTCAAATTCCGTTTACATCAAGCTCCACTTCAATTCCGACCAGCCCCAACGCTGCTACCACCAACATGGCCACTTCTATGTTGGCTCCACAGCCATCGGTATTCCCCACCGCGAACACAATCGCCGTGCCAAACTCAAACAACTCCAGAACAATATCCCCATTTCTGCCGAACTCTCCTTACGCTATTGGCACTCACACAACAACATCCATCATTACACTACCATTCAACTTACCTCCCATGACACATACGACCAAGCCTGGATCCAAGAGCACCATTACATCGCGAACTGGATGCCTACGCTCAACTGGCCGTTTATTTCCCACCACCTCAAGCTCAAAGCTCAAGGCTGGCAGTTCACCAAACACAGAGCCCATTTCTACTCCAGATTAGCCACCCACAAACGACTCTTCCGACGCCTCAGACAACGCCAATACACACTCAGAGAACCACACCTTTACACCTCCACCAAGCATCACGCACTCCAACTTCTTCGCAACCTCACCAAACACACAGCAGCCTCCTTTGAAGCAGCCAAAGAGCTACGAAGCGGCCGCCACACGGACCTTGAAGTCTATGCAATCCGACGCATGGCCGCGAACCTTGAAGAACCCGGCCGCAGCAGAGCTCTCCACATCCTCAACAAAGCCCTGATCTACCGCAACCTCACACCGCCAAAACCAAATTTTCCGTTGACAGTGCCATTCCTGGCCCACGACGATTTCACCAAGCACTGCCAGCAGTGGCTTCGTACCACCATTCAGCAACACAAGCACTTCACCATCCCCCTCCACCTCCCCTCCCACAGATTGCGAGAAGCCGCACACAAAACCCTCCGTTCCCACCTGCATAACCACCGCACATGGGAGGACACCCTCCACTCCCCGCCAGATCCAGCAGACCTCCCCTGCGCATGCGATCACCTTCGCACCCTCTTGCAGGATCCCGATACCCCCACCATCAACGGCCACTACATCCTTACACTTGACCAACTCCAACTCCCTACGCATCTCGGCATTTTTCTCAACGCCAATATGAACAGCACCTACTACTACCCCAGCAAGGCCCGCTACTTCCTCATGTTCAAGACGGCCTACACAAAATGGCTCAAACTACAAGGGCTTCCGCCATCCCTCGTTCAGCACTTGCAGCCTTTCCTTGAGCACCAATGGCGCCTCCACAACACACACCTCAAGCAGCAACCCCGTTTTACGGCTCGCCTGCTTCGCCAACTCCAAGAACACCTTGGCAAACACACATTACTTCACCATGCCGACCATGAGCTCCAACAACTCCGGCTGTTTTGCCCTCGCCAATATTTCACTGGCGCCTTGAATACATGGCAATCCCCCGAACTTTTCGAACCACTTCCCTACATCACTGCCGCCAATATCCACGATCACCTGGCCGCCACTGTCCCCCCCATTTTGCGCACTCGCTACAAGTGGGGCTTCCGAAAAGACTTCAACATTCCCTACGGCGTTGTCCACCTCAAGGAGAAGAAGCACTGGCAAAAAGGCCGTACAATTATCTCATACTTCCAATCACTCAGTGGCAACCTGCTTCGCATTACCAGCCGTGCCTTTGACATCATCCTCCAACACCTCTACCCTCAACATCCCGGCCAAATGTCCATTCCCCAGCTTTGGCACCACTTTCACAGCTACCTCACCCAAACCCCACCAGACATCTCACTACACGCCACCAACGATGACCTGGTCGGCTTCTTCAACTCAGTCCCACAGCACCGACTCATCGATGCAGTTCACTCCCTCGTCCACCACTGGCAACAACAGCAACCCACACACACCTTGACGGTGGATGTCCAGGCCACCGGCAATCCTTTCCACCACTCACACATTGGCAGACACCATCGAAAACACCCTACCCAACGCACCATCCAGACTTCCGACATTACCACCATCGTGGCTTTTGCCCTCAACACATGCATTTTCCGGGCTTGCAACAATACTTACAAACAAATCCGAGGGGCCGGGATTGGATCCCAGCTCTCTCCAGCCCTATGCAATGTTGCCATCACCCTCATTGAGCATTCCTGGCATCAGATCCACAACAACCTCCTTCAACACACAGACCTCCACTTTACTTACTATCGATATGTCGACAACCGCTTCATTGTCCACAACGAACATTTCCTTCAACACCCGGCCATCCAAACCCTCATCCACCACAATTTCTTTCCAGTGGAACTCGAACCGGTGGAGGATTTTCATCTCCTCGGTTTCAACATCGACCTCCCACAACGCACCATCACCTACATGCAACCTTCACAACCCTGGAAAATCCGGGATTCCACAACCGCCGGGAGCCAGCGCTTGGCTCTATCAGGCCTCCAATCACGACTTCACACCATTCGAACATACACATTTCCACCCTCCAGCGCTGAAGCTGCTGCGGCTGAACTCGTGAGGCTTCATGTCCAAAAAGGACACAACTATCACGCCTGCCACCGGTTTTTGAAAAAGCGCCGAACGCGGCGACTTGTGTGTGTCCACCCCTGGACAAAGGGTTTTCCAACACTTTTTCTCACAAGCAGGGGCGTGTGGCACTCTCGCCCTACCACACGCAACGAAGCTGTGGGCGAGAGTGGGAAGCAGGGCCCGATCAGCCCTGCGTACCTGCTACAACTTTTGAACACGCTGTCCAATCTTTTGGTTTGATTCATGGTGGTTCCACACGATACTTTCCCCACAAACAGGTTTCCCACTGCACTGCAGCTGCTGACCGCCGCTTCCACTTGCGCTTGTCGTGAAACTTGTGTTAAACAATACTTTTCAGCGGACTTTGCCACCTTGCCGTTCCCTCGCCTTCCTTCCCATCGGAGAAATTGAGTTAACGGAAAACCAGTGTCAGAGTGTGTGTCAGTGTGAGTGTCGAAGTGTAAGTGTGTCAGTGTGAGTGTCGAAGTGTAAGTGTCGAAGTGTCAGTGTTCAAAGGATTTTCCGGAAGAACCCTTCGCAATGCTTTCGGGAATAAATTCGCAACCCTTATAGAAATGATGGCCGCGGCTCAGGATTGCTAGTGGCCGTGTCCATTTTCTATTGCTTGGCGATGACTGGTCGTCACTCTTCGGCATGGGCTGGATGGTTGAGCTGCATGGTGTCGAGACGATCGACGTTGTGCTGCTGTTTGAAGATCGATGCCTGAATACCGCGGTCCACTATGTAAAATCATGAGAGCTGGAGATAGCTAGAAAAGTTTGGCAATTGTACAGCAAATGCAACATTTCTACGCCACCTGAAACTCAGATCCCCAACACGCGCAAGGTTAAGGATCCAAGTCTCGATGGTTGAGATCCCAAGTCTCGATGTAACTAGAGCCAGAGAAGTTCTTCCTCACCTGGGTTTCACCCAGTGGATGCTTGGCTGTTTGCTGCACCCTTGCTCTAAGGGATCGTAAAGACTTTGAGACTCACTTTCCATCCTTCCAGCACAGCTATCAAGTAAGAATTGCTATACGCGGACTCGAATGAACATGTTCAACCAGTTGCTTGGTGCTTCGATGTTTGATGGTCCCATGAAGGCGATAGAACGTGTTCATTCCGACCCAACCCGACGGTGCCCAGAGAACAATCGGACGGGGCATCCCAACGGTGCCAAGGCGTTTTTTGGCTGGTGGCCAAGATCTTTTTCCGAGCTGCAGCTGGGTGGCTGGGCGTCCATTGAGGGAAGGGCTGGGCTCACATCCCCATCGTACGTTTGGACCCATGACGTTGGGCGGTTGTCCCAAGGATTTCAGCAGACATGGAGCACTACAAAGAGGGTGCTGCACGTCTGAAAAGGCCTGGTGGCTATGTTGGAACCTTCTTATAGAACGTTTTCTGTTTTCAGATTTCATTCAATTAGCATTCTGAAGGAAGTGAAGCCAACGATCAGCATGCAATTGTGTGTGTGTGTGAAAGTGTTTTTTTTTTTTTTTTTTTCCGAAGACTTTTCGGCCGAGTGGCTCCGCGCAACGAAACAGTTGGATCAAGAAGTACATCACTGGCTTGCACATCGAGAGCCTGGACTTTCACAAGGTTCTCGAGGAGTTAGTGGTGGAGGCACGCAATATGGCAGAATGGAGCTGGCCAAAGTCATTGAAGAGGGTGTGTGGCTTGTTGTGTCATGTTGTGTCAAAAAGCTTGGCTCAAGAAACATCACTCCTGTGGCAATTCCCATCCCCAGCTTCTTGAGGACAACTGCATAGGCTGGTGGTCAACATCCATTCAATCAGCGAGAATGGTTCAAGTGATGGTCCATGCGGCGTTTTTTGACCCCCAATATAAACAAGTAGACCAGACCCCCACCCCACGTAGAACATGCATTGAACCGTACGGGACCACCGGCACCACCGGAACCACCGGACCTGGGTGAACCCAGGGCTTCCGGGCGGCGCCTCCCTGCTGTGGCGGGCCGCTGTAGAGGTGGAGAGCGTCGGCTCCGTCTTGACACAAAGCCTGCTGGCGGTGATGCTCCAAGCAGCCCCTCGGTGGAGGTGTTTCTCGTGTGGCGCGGGGATTGGGGGAGAATGCATCAAGAGGGTCGACGCAAGGTGAAAGCCATAGGCGCAGAAAAGCAGGACTGGCCGTCTCATGTAACCATATGTACCCCCACCATACACGCTAGCTAGTTGCTTTTCACCGAGAATCCAGTTTGGTAATTCTCAGTGGTCAATGGGGAGTCACGATTGGGATCTGCATCATCCACTATGTGCATATGAAGCGAGAGGCGGCAGGCTGCGGGTTATCGTTTGTTGGGTTGCACGATGAAGGGAAACACAGCAGGTTTGGCATCTCGCTGGTGGTGCCAGCGCATTTTGCTGGTCTATGAACGTGCTGAGGATCGAAGCCTGAAAGAACGGCCTGCATATTCCAGCTGGAACCAGAATCCCTGAGACCGCTCCCAACTCCGGTTGCATCGTGTTGCACTTCTTCGTTTATAAAAGCGTGCTTGTGCTCGTACCGGTTCGTCCTCTACATAGTTTTGGTCTACCCCATGTGGTACCCAATTGGTGTGCAGCAGTTTCTTTCGCTTTTGCTGCAAACGACTGTATGGTGGCAAGAACTCTGGTCGCACCAGTGCACTCGGGTCGCCCAGCCCCCCGGTGAAATAGCTCCAGTGGGCGGTTGAAGCTTCAACCGTCTCATCCATTGATGTAGACGGTTGATGAATCGCCCCAGCACTTGGATTGTAAAACCTTGTCAGACGTGTGGTTTATGTATCAGAAGTCTACATTAGCTGGTTCCTTTCTTCACCTTGTGAGGTGGTGACGTTCATCTTCTTGATCTACATGCTCTGGAGCCCGGTCAAGGTCGATGGCAGCGCTATGGCCACCGAGGCGCGTTCTGGCCCGCAACACCGGCTTTCGTCGATGTGCAGGTGCATCATGGACCATGGAGGTCCCTTCAAGACTATGGGCTCCAATTCCGCCGTTGGTTTGGCCAACCCATACCAAACCAACACTTAGCACTCTGTAGCACTTGGGCACTTGGGATTGCCTCTCCAAGCTCGGCCGGGATTCTTGTCACAATCGCACACCGGTGCGTGTTTACGGCGTGTTTTGACAAGGGCTTAACAAAAGTGGTCAGGCAGAGTCCAAAAAAGCACGACACAACAAGGAGGGCTCCTCACCATTTTTGCTACCAAGAGAGTTGCGAGCCTTGCAAGCGGGTGACGCGGAACACTTGTGTGCCCTGGGAGGTCTTCAATTCGACTAGTCGATACTTGAAGGTGAAGTTTCTGGTTTCTTCCTTTACTGGCCTCTCCATCAGTGGGCGCCTCAGACACACCCAGGGAGGGCATGGAGCGCCTGCGATGACACAGCTGCGAGTCATAGGCGCTCCACACTATTGGAGTTTCATGATCCGCCGTTCCTGTGAATAGGCATGGGCGGCATAGGCATAGGACTATACGTATACGGGGTTATCACTCATGAATGCCCAGCGGTGGGAACATTGAGTGGAACATTGTTTAAACTACTTCAGTGGACGTCGGCTCCTTTTCTGTTATGCGCGTTGGTTGCTCGCGTCACAGTAACGAAAGATGTAGAACGTGCCACAGGGAGACCACTGGAACCGGCAGTGACCAGCAGAAGCCACACATACGATATACAGGAAATATGTAGAGATATTTCAGGGCCCCCTCGCATCCCCTCGCCACATCTAGTCGCCTTCTTCTAAGGTTTGTTGCTCTACGGCACTGGTTTGAACTGCCCTGATGCATTCGGCTTGCTGGCCTTGCTGTGCAACTTCCTGCCAGGCCGCTGTGTTTTGCCCACGTCCACTGCGTGGCCGTGGGTGGGCAGACGAGTGATGGCTTGGAACTGTTATATCATATTATACAATATTTTTTGAAGCCTCCGAAGATGTCAGAAAGGAAACCAGGGAAACATGAGAGTGAGACTGTCCAATCCACGTGGAAAACGTGGAATGAGACTGATAGACTAATAGAAGGACATGCAAGTTGTGACATGGGTAACGTGATTCAACAGGAAAGGGTTTGTGCTATAGCATGCTAGGGTCCTTGCTGCCTGTGTCAGGGCTTTGCAGCTACCTGAGATTGATTCATAGAATTCTACCTTTGAAAGGTGGGATGTGCCGGAACGTGCTGGATACACAATGACCAATGCTAGAAGTGGAACGGATCCAGATTTGTTTTCCACGTAGATGTTCCTTGAAGGGTGACATTGCCTCCCAACGATCATGGCTTTGTGGAGGGCATGGCCCGACTATCAGGATGGCTAATATTCCTTTACCAACTTGTCAGCGCTTTCCACCTGGCAGGACTTCGGGAATTCTCCTAAGAAGAAACAAGACATGGTATGACATGGTCCTTTTGGTATCACTTGTTGGGGGAAGAAGCTTTTGGGGTATGTCCGGACATCCCAGATGCTGAGATCGCTTTGCCGTTGCCTTCGACGCACCCAGGCATTGGCTCCCCCGTGGCGTCCATCATGCCGTGCCTCCTCGCCATGATCGACGCGAGGAAAAGCCCCACGCAGGCGTGAAGAAGGGCGGGCGCTTGTGGCCCAGGGCCACACGAGAGATAGGAAGGGATCCAGGGATCCATGATGGGCATTTTTTGCGAGAACCGTATGGAGCGATGAGATCTCTGCAGTGTTGGACTTCTGCTATTGAAACTGGCCCTATGCTTGAGCAGGTTGCTATTGCGTTCGTGCTGCAGATCATTGTGCATTTCGTCATCGATTTTATGTGCTTTGGCAGTTGGCCATGGAGGGGATCAACCTATATACCATAAGGCCGAAGAAAAGCCGGTGCCAATTCCAAGAAATATCTTGTTTGTTATGTCATTTCCCATCCAAGTGGTTTGCCAAGGATTGAGCCCGTGGTCTTTGGCTTCTCTGTGGAGATCCACTCTGTCCGGAGCTCCATCCGCGAGTTTGGGGCCCCTCGAGGAAGCTGTTCGCAGCCGGTTGGATTAGTTGAACACATACATACTTCAAGCTTTGGCTTCTATAGTTTCTATAGTGATGGGGTCCAGCTCTGGACTCACATAATTCGATATTTGCTATCATATGTTATCAGCTTTCTTCACCCCAGCCTGCCTAGACCAATACGTCTTCGCATGTCGGTCCTGGTCTTGAAGTCAGACAGCTCCGGCACAGCCACGACATATTTACATTGCTGTTTTGGTAAAGGCATGTAACATGAGAACACGGTCATCAACTCCGTTTCCAATCAGACTGAGCAGTGATGGGCTCCAGAGGTCATTGTGATTTTGGGCATTTGGTTCTTTTACCAGGCCTGGGCCTGGTTGATGCTGTGGGCATCTCTTCCGAGACTGGAGATGGTGAAGCCTTTGCAACCCATGGAATGCATCGTTTGAAGCATTGAGACTTTGTAATTAGGCTTGTGCACCCCCGCAGCCGGAGAAATCTTTTATGCGGCCTGTTCTTTTCCATCTTGTGAGGGATGAGCCTGAAAGCGAGCGCAGCTCTGACAGGTGTGGGGAGTTCCTGGCATGCTGCTCTCCGTGCCGTTGCTGGCGGCCATCAGGACGGATGTCTAGCAGGAATGTGCATATAGACTGTTCATGACTGTTCCGATCTCTCAGGAACCAAGTAGATGAAGAGTGAGAACGAGCAAAGCTGGTATTCAGTTCCTGTGCAGGGTCCATTTCCGCAAGCATTCTTGGCACGAAGAAGTGTTGTGTGTTTGACAGGTACCCATGCACCAGAATTTACATCCAAAGGGGCTGACAGCACAGAAGCCCAAAGATTACCAGCTTGTATGTATATAAATTGCCTGTGGATTGCGAATCAGGAGGGTTATCTTCAATAACTTATGTGACCTTTGTTTTTCCAAGACACACGTTGATGACACCTCATGCTTTGATGATCCAAAGTTTGCTGGGCTGCCTGCGATTTTATGTACCCCTTTCATCCTCTTTCTCAATCACACCGAGCCTCTCACGCTGATGTTGAGTTAGCGATGACATCGTGATGGCCAAGAATGCCGAACGCCTGCATTCAATTTGTTCGCGCCAGGGTTTGGCGGACTCCCTTAAATACTGCACGTTGCAAAGTACAAAGGAACATCCAACTGAACCTTCGGAACGTTGACTTCGGATCTGATCTGATCGCTCCCATGAAGTGTGCTGCAGCCGGCTGCCGCCAAGCTGGCCTCCGGAAATGCGGCCGCTGTGGGAAGGTGGGATACTGCTGCCTGACAGCAAGCGTGGCCACTGGCTGGAGAGAAGCGTCCGACGCGTGCGAAGCTTGTCAGGCTCTCCCGGCGATTGTCGTCAAATGCTGAGGCCCAATTACAGTGACATCAGATGATGTCAGTGATTTCTTGAAACAACGTGGGCTCTTGATCAGTATCGATCATTAGAACCGTAAATGGAAGTTTTATGAATCAAGAGTCGACTCAATTACTATGAATGCCTGGGATTCTGAACCAGGCTCTGCAGACTGCCAGAAGAGGGACTGGCCACAGCATCTTGTCAACAGGGTGAGACGGGGAAAAATTGTGGTTTCTCAGATGCTCCAAGTCCCTTTATTGACCTTTGCGATAGCTGGTGCATCTCAATCGGCCTAGATTCGAGTGATGTAATTACATCTGCAAGACCCTCCCCGACATGTTTGAAGAAGGGCTTTCACTTGGCGCTGTACATACTTTAGAGGTTTTTAGGCATTATCAGGAAGGCACTTGGTTCAAACGTGTGGCTTCAAGGTGTGGCAAGACATTGACCATGGATGACTCAATGACTTGTTCCGGCTCCCTTCTCCACCATCCACCGATCCACCTACCTACCAAAACATCCACCATCTTCATCCATCTTCCACCAGTGGTCGCTCGGTGTTGCTTCGTTTCCGATCTTTTCCGAGGCACAAGGCGAGTTGCAGCAGCCAAAGTCTTTGCTGCGCGCGAGCCGTCGAGGTGTACCCGACCACTTTTTTTCTTTTTTCTGTCGCGAAGGGAGCCATCGTGGGACTTAATTAGAAGTGGGGTGTTGCGGTCGATAAGGGATGTTGTTCGTAGGAACGTGGACAAGCGGACTGCAGGGAAGAGAGAGAGTATCTGCGCTGTATCTCCAGGCAACCCAGTTGCTGGGACCAGCGGAGACAGTGTAGACAGCGTGTAGACCAGATGTTGGCCTTCCGTGGAACCAGGTCAGGAGGCACGTGGGTGCACGCAGTTATATAGGCAGCAATATTGGCGTCACCTGCGCAAACAACGGCCAAATCGAAGCATATGAAACATGATGGCACCATTCAGTTCAATAACCTCCAACCACCCAAAAGTAAAAGTCGAAAGCATTTCTGGGCGGAATCCAAATGAGTTGCCCGACCAAATGGACTCTCCAGTCATCGCCCATTTGGTCCATCGCATCTGCATCCAGGCGGAAGAGCATCAACGTGCAGCTGCCCTTAAGGAGGAGGAGCCCATGCCACTGGACGTGCAGCGTGAGTTGGCACGGCTCACTGGCAAGGATGACAGGCGGAAACTGTTTGAGCTTGAGCTACAGCTTAAAGGTATCCAAATGTAATATATATATATAGATATATATCTTTAATATATATATATATATAAAACATTGATATTACTTATTATAGTCCATGTTTTAATTACAGTATGTATCTATAAATATATTGTTGCACCCTGCCCCTGGTCTACCATGTTTTAGATATTTTAAGGAGGTTTCCAGGAGGCATCAACATTTTGAACCTTGTGATGTCCAATCTCTACGGTCAACTTGGTTGCCAGGCTGACGGAGATCTCCTTCAGTGGATTAGCCACTTCTCATGCGACCTGGACCACTGGGAGAGGTAAATGATGGTGAACGTGGGATATACCGACATATATAGTATATAATATAACTACTGTATGTACATACACCGATATCCTGAAATGACCAGTGCGATGGGTTGGTTTGGGGATAAGTCACGCAGCTAGCTGCTATAGCTAGCCAGCTAGCTGCTCCGGTTCTGCTCCGGTTCCAAGCCGTCATTCAGCTGATGCATTTTGATTGGAAGGCCTTCGATTCAAGCCAGCTGCGACTGACACTATCAGTCGGTCATGCTGGGCATGCTGCAAGAAGAGCTAACTAAACCAAATGGCCGATGGACGTGCTGTTACTTGCTCAGACGCGCAGCTTCCACTTCCATGCTAAGTCCCCTATTCTTCTCAGAAGTGAAGCATCAGAGCTACTCGTAGTGGGGGAAGCCGAGGGGTCATTAGTTGATGCTGTGGTGTGAAACTTGAAAGTTCAGCACCCACCTGCTGCTGGGGGATTGGTTGTACATTGGCCTATTGTATATATGCATTACAAGAACACAGCGCAGAACAGATGATGCCAAAATATGCATAGCTCTCACCCTGTCAGGTCTACCAACAGGCTATTCTTGTGCCTTCCGCTCTAGCAAAGGGAAGTCAGGTAGTCTCGAATATGAGGTCTTGTGCCCAAAAAAACGATCTCCTCGAGGCAGTCATTTAACAATGAATTTGTATGCTTCTTCTACATGCGTTTCTTGAGTTGGCGGCTGCCCTTGGTTTTTAGATGCGTGTGGATGGCGCCAGTTGCCACTTGAGGCTGACGTCTTGGGGTCGGCGCTGGGAATGGGTGTGCACCTGCGGCGGGTGGTGCTGGAGGAGTGCCACCTGGGTGTTGAGAGTGCCCAGTGCTGGGCTGAGCAACTCAGCGCTCTGAAGTCATTGGAGGTGCCCACTGAAAGCAGCGACATGAGACCGTGGGAGTGCTGGAGATGCACGGACATGGGCCAAGAGGGAGAGCTCAAGGTAGAGATGGCTGGGGGGGTGGGGAAGATTTTTTCTAAGTGATGGCCTTTGGGGAGTGGCAGCGCATGAGTGGCATACGAAGCAGACGCCTCACCCGGCATTTCCCAGGCAGCCGGGCCTACCTTCATTTCCGTTCAAGATTGGGGGAAAAAGATGGAGAAAGACAAAGACCACGAGATACCATGTGCCTTAAGTGAGAGAACGCATCCTCACATCTTTTCGGAATTGGTGGTGATAGACCTCGCACAATGGCACGCATGTCCTTAGAAAAAGCAGGTGCACAGGGAGGGGTGAGCGGACATTGTGTGACTGGTCCTCCAAACTTACATCTTCCATCATCTTCCATAGCCTCCGACAAGATTTCTACCTGTTTGGAGGTCCTCAACCTGGGCCACAACCAGCTGGAGATCCGGGGCTTGGAGGTTTTTCTGGCCGTCACCCGGCTGCAGAAATGGGTGATGGTCGCTGAGAGTGGTCGGATATGACGAGAAAGGAGTCAGCAAGACGAAGATCTGGGGTTTCAGGATCTAGCAGGTTCAATGCTCTCGTACTCGTTGAGATTGACCGACCGAACACTCTTTTCAGAGCACTGGCAGGTTCCGCAGCGTTTTCAGTTTTCAGGCCAACCAAACACCATGGAGTGACCCTGGGTCCCCTGGGTCGGTTGCTTCCGGATGAGGCCTTGACGTCTGTTGGCCTCCGAGAGCTGGTGCTCACGGACAACCTGTTGGGACCCAAGGCCGGGACGAAGGATGGGAAGAATGGACGAACCAGAGGTGGAAGAACCCAGTAAGATAGACGATCCCAGTTCGGTAGCCCCAGTAAGGTCCCTAGTTCAGGTCACTGGCTACCTCTCTTGGTTGATCTGAAGATTTGCACCACACGAAGCCTCTTCCAGGCTGGTTTGTCCTGGGCCACAAACCCAGCGGCTCACGGGGTGGTTGCAATTACGCCCCTGTGCTATGCGCTTCGGCTGTGTAGGCGGCTCAGATGGTGGGTGAGCTCATGCACCTTGCCGTGTGGCGGACTGGGATGTGGCATTTGTGCGCGAGTTGTTCGCATGGTCGTGAGCCATGGGACTCTGGAAGGAGTTTCTGTGATACCTTTGGATTGAAACTGTTTCACCGATCAGGTCAAGGACTGCACATATTGACCGACATCCTAAGCAAAAGGAGCTGTCCACTCCTGTTTCAAGGGGTGTGGGACTTGCGATTTGAATTGGCTTTGTTCAAAAGCCTTCGGGAATTTGAGCTGCCAGCATGGTAAGATCCTACGCAAGTAGGAGACAAGCCCTGACCTGGTACAGTAACAAGGTGGGATACGGCACAGACGTTGATATGGCACCCTGCATGGGTTTCGAGGCAGCACATCCCATGCCAATCAGGGGCGGAATCACACTTTTTTCACTTGGAGGAATCCCATCGTTCGGCGTTAGTGCTCCTCCTGGGCCACGGCGCCTTTATATCAACATCTTTAAAGCTATTCATGGGTGCCTTAGCAAGCCTCTTGCTTGGGGTATCGAATGGGGGCGATCCATCATCGAACGATCCCGCGGTTCGGTACCATTCTTCCAGGTCATTCGGTACCTCCAAGGCTGCAGCTGCCATCGCTGGTCGGTGTGAATCTCTCGGAAAACTTCCTGCAAGAGGAGGGTGCAGCTCTCTTGGCAGAGGTGCTCTGCAAAGGCCGCCGCGACATGACACATGGCAGATATGGCAGTGCCGGCTGCTGCCGTGTGAGACGAAAGGTTTGGCAGAAGTCGTTTGACAAGCCATGTAGCCTCCAGACCCATGTTGGCCTTGTTATTGCTGTGGCCTCTCAACAAAGGACTCAAAGCTTTTTGAGGGCCTTGTCCACCCAAACCGATCCCTTTCTCATCGTCTCTTTTGTTCGCTCAGTGGCTTTTGAGGTTCCCCAATCAAGGCTCCAGTGCCCTGAAAACTGGTCGGCTGTGGCCCCGTTTGCTTTTCAGGCTCCACCTCTGGGCTTAGCCTGGACTTGTCTTCCAACGACTTGCGGGTCGCTGGCGCCAAAAGCCTTGCAAGGCTGATGGAACTGGACCACTTTCGGTTTCTTCGGCTGAATGAAGCGAGCAGCTTGTTTCACCGGAGGCCATTTCGGGCCGTTTTTCTGTGGGAATTGGCGGGTGATGGCACCCGCACCTGTGATTCGAGGGGCCTGGTTCGATGTGTTGGAAAAAGATGAAGAAGCAAGGATTCGAGGTCCCTAAGAACCTAATGGCGGCGGAGGATCGTCTCAATTTTAGCCGTGGTACTCGTTCTCACTCCAGCTGTTCTCACTTTCAACGGTGTGGAGATCATGGAGATCATGAACCGGAATGAATGTGACTGTGATCAAAAAGCTGACGTAGAAATTTGATAACATTTGCAGAACACCCTGGGTAGTGGAGCACCCGTGGTCATCCATTTTTGCTCAACATTACAGCTGTTTCGCTTGCCTTTGGGATCACTGATCAACTCCATCTTGTGACAAAAACCAACGAGACTTCGCTTGCCACCTTTGGGATCACTGATCAACTCCATCTTGTGACTGACTGCCGAGACTTTGTTATACATCCTAATGCAGGCTCTTCGCGACATCGAGAGAACGGCGGGGTTTGAGGTCCTTGGAGTTGGCGTCCAATCGACTCCATGACTTCGGCATCAAGGCCGGACACCGGTCGGGAGGTCGGCAAGAGGTCGGCAACGACGGGTGATACGAACGGTGTGCGGGAACTGTTTGAAATTCACTTGGGAAGATGCACAGTTCCTCCTTTAAACAGTTTTTTGGTATTTAATTTGTTGAATGGGGAGAGCTTGCAAGAATGGGTCTTGTTGATTGCGGGGATGGACTGATCTTTCCGAATAACACCTATTTGCCAACTCAGTTTTCGTTGCGTTTTTTCTATCCGAGTCTACCCATGGGGGTTTTTGTGCTGTGTTCGGCTTCTGACGCGTGGAGGCTCTGGCCCAGCCGCTACGGCAGAACCGTGGACTGACTTTCCTGGGCTTAGCCGAATCCTGTCTGGATTAGACTTCTTGTCCTCGGTGGTTGAGGAACATTGGGTTTTGTTTGTAGACTCCGACCCACTGATCCGCCTCAAGTCTCAGTGAGTCGGAATGGAAGATGTGTGATGAAGTTAAGTGAGAAAGAGCCTTTCACATATGTGGCCCATGGTTCTCCGGTGTGGGGGGCTTCAACGGTAGACCACAGCTGTGCCAACTTCTTGACTTTGGGACGCAGTATGTGCACTTTCCTTGTCATGGTATCACGAAGGTTTGATGTTTTGTTTTGAGATGTTTTGAGGGGACTGGAGAATGCTGCTGGACCAACTGCTCCACACGGTGTAAGTAAGTAATTAGTAATTAGTACGTAGTTAACATTGACGTTGGACATCGTTGGACATTTTTCCTAGGCACGGGGTGTCCCATGAATGTCGAGGAACGTTTCTGTACCAATTCCATCATCCGGAAACTTTGGCCTGAAAAAGAATGGCGTTCCTTCGTGCCGGCCTTTTCACCTATATTCGAAGAATGTCATGGCTTGTTCTTGCATATCATCGTGAAAGAGATTGGGTTTGTTTCCAAGTGTTTCCAACCATATAAGGCTAAAGTGCCCATGAGGGGCCTTGGTGCGTATTGAAAACGGTTCTCTCATAGTGCTTGGGCTCGCTCTTTCCCTCTCTTGACCATCCTTTTCCCGGTTCCTCAGGAAAACAAGATCAGCGATGAAGGGCTTCAGGCCTCCGCCGGAGTATTCCGCCGGTCTCCGCCGGTGGCGAAAGGGTTTTTCTCCGCTGAAGCCCAAGCCTCTCCCTTCCAAATGAAGAACAAAGCTAGCACGTCACTGCTTGCTAACAACCTTTATACGTCATGGGCTCTCAGCAGTGGTCAGATCCCTTTTTCTGCCTCCGGGCCAGACCAAAAACATACAACAACCAACAGAGCCCTTGAGACGTGCAAGTTGCATCGGGCGCGCTTTCGGCTCTTCAGCCATCTGATCCGCGATTTTTGGTGCTCGACACCCCGCGCAGAGTTCGGAAGATGGCCGTCCACGAGGCGCGTAGCGAAGTCCAAGATTCACAGGCCACTTGGCGGAGGAAACGGTCGGTCAATTGATGTGCATCAAAGGAGATGTGAAATGAAGTGAAGCAACAAACGACACATGGGTATCGGTATCGGTGTAGTGTGTATATATATATATATATCGAACTGTGTTTTGGCCTTGTCATGTGAATCACTCTGCAAGTTATCCGAAAAAAAATACGATATCATACAGGAGCACTAACCAATCCCTAGCCCAAAAAGCAGATCTAGCATCCCTCTAAATTGATGTGGGCATCCACAGAAAAGAGGAGCCACGGGTCGACGCACGGGTCGCCCCGGGCGATCCCCCTTTTGACGGAGTGTTGATCTACTTGGCCTGCTTGGGCAGACACCCCTCCTTCGACACATCCACATGATCATGTTGAACCCCCCATCCACTCGGTGGCACAGATCGGCACCGTCAGGACTCGATGGAGAAGAGTGACCCTGAATGTGGAAGTGAAAGCAGTGAGCTGACGAACCCAGCACGAAGGAGCTGCTTTTGTTCGCCTACGGTACCTGGAGCCAACATAGGTTCTACATAAGGGGTTCCAAAAATAGTGGCATGTTTTAGCTTTTTGGGGGGGATTTCCGCCCGCTTGCTAAATCCATTGGCTTGCACGATGCTAAAAAACACAATTCCTTGTGGCGGACTGTGGAACATGCTTGCTCTTGGGCCGCTTTAATAGCGGCAGTGGGGTAGTGAACCAAACAGCCATGGAAACATCACAGCAGGAGTGGAGTGGTTGAAACGTTGACTGATTCAGTCAGTGCCTTGTCCTTTTCAATTTTGTGGGTCTCATCTCTTGAATCAATCCCACCTAGACAGAGAGAGGTAGAGGTTGGGGAAGGCGAGACTTGTTGTTTGCTTGCTCCTCCACCACAAGCCCCGTTTGGCCCATCTTTGCTCAGGCCGAGGGAACTCGCTTGGGTCACTTTCTGGGAGATTTCTTAAAGGGCATCTCCCAAGTGTGCTTCATTTCTCACCGTGGCACTGGGCTCATCTTCCTGCTGGGCATCTTCATTGGCACCCTCCGCGGTGGAATCTTAGCCTTGCTGGGCGGCATCGCCGCGACCACGATGGGCGTTCTGCTGGGCTATTGGGGAGTGGATGACACGGCCAGAAAGGAGGGCCTCTTGGGTTACAACGGCGTGCTGATTGGCTGTGCCCTGGCAGTCTTCATGAAGGAGAGCCTATTGAATGCCCTACTGGCCACCATTGCTGGGGCCGGCCTCTCCGCCGTGTGCGTGGTGGCACTGAGCCGACTCCTAAAGACTCAGCTGACCATGGTCTTCAACCCGATTACCCTGGTGATCCTCGCATGCACGCACCTGTGGGCTGATCATCCAGACGAAGATGGCAAGAGTTCAGTGCTTTTCAATTGGAAGAGTGACTTCCCAGACCTCACTGCCCTGGATTGTGCCCAAGCCATGCTCAATGGTGTGGCACAGATCTTTCTCGTTTGCAACCCCACGTCAGGGCTCATCATGGTCCTAGGGATTTGCCTCGCAAGTCCCCTTGCAGCACAAGCATCGCTGGTGGGATCTTTGGCTGCGGCGCTGGGCTGCGCAGCTTGCGGAGTGGATCTGGCAGAGCTTCCACAAGGTCTCTGGACCTTCAATGGTGCATTGATTGGAATGTTCATCTCCTGCCGGTTCAAGTCGCTGGGATATGTTTGGGTGTCTCTTTTGGTTTGTGTTGGATCAGCTGCAGCTACCGCCACATATGCCGGACTGCTGGCACTCACACGCCTTAGCCATGGCTTTGCGGCTGCTCCTTTCACTTTGCCCACATGCATCGTGGCCTTCCTTCTCATTGCACTAGAGACAGCCACCCAACGCATCTCGAAACCGGATGCCACGGCCGAAGTGGTCCAGTAAGCCGTTGCGGCCGAGAACCGTGGGTGTTCAGTGGGTGTTCAGTGTTCGCCGTGGAGCGGCGAAAAGTTTTGAAGGGGTTGGACCGAGGGGTATCAACCCTCAAACTCAGCAACGCCTGAGGTGCGTGTCTCCCAGTCTGGGGCCCTCATGGGGGGCCACGAGTTGCTCCGGGCGAATGCATCTGGGCGGAGTGCCGATCTGGATGTGGCCTGACTTTGAGACATTGCCTTGTACAGTGTGTATAGGCTGCGAATTTGGGGGCCTTGCCAATGGTTCGCCTTCCTTTGGCACCAACGGGGGGGCTCCTTGTGCACAAAATCAGCTTCCGGTGGGAACGGGCATGATATTGGATCAGCCAACTGAACATGGCCCGGCATGGCTAGGTTTGCTTTTGGTGGGATCCTGCCATCGGTTTGACCGCTTTTCTCTTGCAAGCTTGTGTCGCATCGCCTACACCAGATTGCCCTGACCATTGGACTCTTTAGAGACCTGCACTGCACTCAACCAGCTCCTTGAATCGCACCTCGTTTTCCCTGATGTTTGGACCTCGCTGCCAGGTGCTCGCCGAGGCGCTGGGCGAGAATCAGACCCTGGAGATCTTGGAGCTGGACCGGCGCGATGGCGGCTCCCGCGGTGCGATCGGATGACTTGTGGAGTGGGAGAAGTGGGTTGGAGTTCGCGAAGAAGAAAGCTCGAGATGTTTCAACTCGCCAGGGATTCGGAAGAGTGTGGTTGTGAGGTTGCGAAGCCCGAGCCATAAGGCATTCAACCATGAAGCAGCTTGAGCTTGGCTACTAATCTCGTGCGCGTGGGTGAGATTCGTCCAGGTGAACTTGTGTGTGTGTGTGTGTGTGTCACACCCTGGTTCTAAGGGTTTTCCACGTTCTCACCTT